TTCTCATTTGGTGTTCAAGTTAGGTTTGTGATTTCATATGGTGTTCAAGTTAGGTTCACCAACACCATTAGTTCTACATAAAAGTGTTCTATTTTTTAAAAAGTTCTATTTTTAATTGTTTCTCTATTTTTCAACTCACCAATAAGATTTATATACATACATTGAGAAAATTTATATCTATTATTATGGTCAGTTAAAGTGTAATTATAAATTTAAGTATTTAGATAAATGGCATTACATTATATTTATTAAATTTTTTACTCTTATGATCTATATGTATTCATAAATTTGAAAACCATAAGTTTGTTAAAATATTTATGATATAAATTGAAAAACCATTTATGTAATTATTCTCAACATCACTTATCAAAAAGTTAAGAGTTTGTTTTCAAATTTATGAATACGTAAAGTTGTTTCAAGATGATTTTGTTCTTTTTTTTTTTTTTGTCAACAACTTAAATATAATAGATGCTCAAAAGAGCCATTCCTGGGGAATGTTGTTTACATAAGTGATATGATGCGGTTCGGTACGAATTTTTCGTGCCAAATTATCCGCTTTTACATTTGCGCTACGCGGAATTAAAGATAAAGAAAAATTAGAGAATTCTTCCTTGTCACTCTTCAAGTCTTCCAAATACACTGAGAAGGCCGGCCATTCGGTTGGGGAAGACACCATCTTCACCAAATCTGAACAGTCTGTAAAGAAAGCTACATCTTGGTTGTCAGCACCAATCATACACTTCATCGCCCAGAGTAGAGCTTCGACTTCTGTATGTAGGGGGGATAGACTTCGCCGGATGTTTGCAGCTCCCATGGTTGGCAAGATGATTTTGTTCTTGAATACGTAAAACTCATGGGATCATGAGTCATTCTTTATTTGATAGTTTATGTCATTCTTTATTTCTTTTACATAATTACTTTTACATAATTACTCAACGTTTGAGAGGGATCAACGTTTGAGTTTCATATATCTCGAGTAAATAGTTTTTTTATTTTATTTTTAATATTGTATAACATTTGACTTGATTATGTTTTGAATTCAATTTTTTTAGTCAATCATACAAATTAAGTAAGAAATAAAGATCAATGAAAGAATATAAAATTTGTATTTATTTTTATCAAAGTTTCCATAAAACCAACCCAATGAAATTCAACCAAAAAATTTAAAAAGTTCCACCAAAGGTTTTTTTTTTAATCTATCCTCATGAGATTTTTGAAAAGAATTATGTTTGCTAAGAGTAATTGCATATAATATCATAATTGACTAATTCAGTTAAAACCTAACATGCCATTAAAGTATTTAGATAAACGGCATTACATTATATTTATTAAATTTTTGTACTCTTATGAGTTATGACCTATATATATATACAAAGTTTATAAAATGACATTTTTTTTTCAAACAATTGAATTTTTATATATATATCAAAACTGAACTAAATTTTTTTAATATAAACTTTCAAAGATAAATTTTTTATTATATCATCTGAAGTCATTTTCCTAAATTAAATATGATTATAATTAAGTGTAACATATATATTATTTTTTTGTGCATAGGCTAATTCAATTTAACTTAGGTTTGGGTCAGGCCCATTACAAGAGAAACCAGAGACTGTTTTACCAATGAATCGGCATTTGAGTTCTGCAAACGGGGAATGAAACTAAACGAAATAATATCAAAGGTAGAAGATAAATTCAGGATATAGAAAAGAATCCCATGAAACTCCTTGTGTTGAAGCTCCGATTTTAAAGCTTTGACTAGCTGTACTGAGTCGGAAGCGAGAGAGAGATGTGAAAAAAAACAGATTAACATATATAAAATATGTTTTTGCTCATTTGGACCACCTTGCTATTTTATTAAATTTAATCATTATCACAAATTATTTAAATTTTTCTTTAATTTTTAACATATGTAGATAAAATTTAGCAAAAAAAATAATAAATATGATTATGTTTTACCTTTGATCTCCTAATTTTATTATGGATTATACGGATATATTATCTAAAGCTTATTGTCAAGGGAAATTCATGAGGTCAGGAAGATCTACCTTCTGATGAGATCCAACGAGCGAAAACGGCCAATATCAACCCCAATTATCAACTCGAACCCACATAAATTTCAAATAACAAACCTGAACTATGTAATCGTTAGCCAATTTTAACATATACATGTTATTAAATAATGTAACAAACCTGAATTATTTAACCTTTAGCCAATTGAATAAAAGGAATGATTCAGATACAAAAGAACAGATAATTACGACTTAACAATTCTAATCGACATTAACAAATACAAAAAAAAAACTGTGTTGAAATTGGATAACGGTTAGATAGTTTAGGTTTGTTTTTTTTAAATTGTATGAGTTCGGGTTGATAAGTTCAGGGGGTCAGAGTTTGGGATGGAAAAAGCCGCATAGAAATAGTTGGAGTTGATTTTGATCGTTTTCCCGATCCAAGGATCATGAATCAACAAACAAGAGACTGTACGATGAGGTATGATATATATATTTCCACAATAAAATATTTTATGTAAATTAAGAAAAAGTAGTGGTATATATTGATGTCATACCATCTTGAATAAAAAAGAGCAGAATTTATTTTTTAGCAATTCACAAAAATACTTCGAAACTGAACATAAAAGTTAATATTTTAAAAAATTCTTTTCAAAAAACTATATTAATAATCGAACGTATTACTTTAATACAAATTTCATTATTATTCAGGATTAATATTAAATATATAACCCACGCATCGCGTGGACAGCTTTCTAGTAAATCATAGTTTTGGGTTAAAGGTAGATTATGAATTAGTTTTAAAAGTCACATTAAAAAAATAAAAAGACTATATCCGTTGTCAACCAAAAATAAAAAAATTAAATAACATTCTTTTGTAAAACAGAGAGAATATTAATTATCATTGGATTTGTTAAATTTGAAGACTTTTTAGTGTTTGTGATGTAAAGTTAAATATATATAATTTTCAGTTATTTGTGTAGATCAAAGTCCTCCATGGTTTGGGTACTAAAAAAAGAGTGTTTTTTTTTAGTCAAAAAGAAGTTGTAGAGCCGTTCGCCTGTGCTTATGAAACATAGCGACGACCATGTGGCACCACAAGGTTCATCACCGAACTCAGCAGATCAACCATTTCTTCTTCTAGCTCTCCGCACTGCTCTGATCTTTCTTTTGAAAATAATATTTCACCTTTCTTTTTTCTTGTTGCATATAGGAAAAATTGAGAGATATATAGGATGAGACAATCAAAGCATAGAAGAAAGTAAGAGGGTTTTAGAAAACGTATAAATCATACATATTTGTTTCTAGAAATATTTACTCAGATGTTATAGAAAGGTTGGAATATTACTAGTATATCATACATTTTCTGAAAATTATTTATATGTTTAGCGTCCTTGTGTAATTACAATTAACACCCTTGATTAGTTTTTTTTAATTGAGATTTTTTATTCGTTTTTAATTAAGTAATGATTAATGAAAAATTAGTTTGATCCACGTCATTAAGAGAAAAAAATGAAAGCCACGTCATTAACTTTATCTCTTATATAAAGAGAAAAAAAAAAAGAGAAAAGAACACGAAAGGTTACGTAACTTCTTGTTTCGCGGCAAATTTGCATGTCACGGCTGAGTTATAATGCTTCATGGAAGACGAACGGTTGCGTAAATTTACATAATACGGGTGAGTTATAATGTTTTACGGCTGACTTATCACAAGAACCAACTTCACAAGATTGTTGTGCGTTGTTTCCGCATCTATCTGCACAACTCTACATCCTCTATCGTCAGTGGTAAATACATATTTTTGTTTCTTTACCCAAATACCGGAAACAACAATTACCGAAACCGGATCAATCATATCGGGAGAAGGATGAACGAAAATGAAGAAAAAGGAGTAAGACGATGACGAGTCGAGTGAAATTTAAGTTCTGGTGATGTGAAAAATACACGTGAAGATCAAAACAGTGAAGAAGAAGACGAGTCGAAAAAAGATCTTTCGTATTTCCTTTGATGATGGTGACATGGAATGATGACATGGAATGTTGCATCCGACGTCATTTTTTAATTTATGAAGTGGCAAGTAAGCCACCAAACGAACATGTAAATCAGCCTAATTAAACCAGCCATCAAACAAAACTTTAAGTCAATCGCAACATAAATACTATTACAGTAATTCAAAAACGAAAAAACGGCTGCCAAATTCAGTCGTTTAATGTCGTAACTCAACCGAAAATCTTTAACTCAGCTGTATCGTTTAAGAAGTCGGCCGTAATTGCATGCTATTCTAGTAATTAATCTTTCGCTACTAAGTCAGCCGTAATTAGGCAAAGTTTTCCGTTAATCCAGCTCATTACGGCTGATTAATAAAACTCGAACATAAATCAGCCGTAACGACATCCCATAACTAAACCGTCTTTGATAACTCAGCCAGCCAGAGAAAGTTAATTTAGCCGTGTCGAAGCAATAACTCAGCCAAAATTTTGACAAATCAACCATCGGTTATGCTCGAAAGTCAGCCATTTTCTCATAACTCAGACAGATTTCATTAAGTCAACCGTACCTCCAAGCTGGGTTATATTCGTAAGTAGCCGTTTGCTCATAACTAAGCTATTTTCCTTAAATATGATAGTAATAAAAAAAAATCTATATGTTTAGTTTTGTCCTATAATGCTCCAAACCATGGTTGATTGCATGCAAAAGTAGTGTTCAGAACCACGAGTTTGTGTTTCTCTTTGTTTGAAATTTTTTTATTCAAACATCGATATTTTTCTTTATTACAATTAGGAGAAACAATCCAATTAATTCTACGTAATTAATTTCACATGCTTAATTTTTCTAAAAAGCAATTTTCTATGCACTATTTGCGGATCTCATGTGCACGACCATGCCAATTGTTTTTTGATTAATTTATTGTAAATCGGTCAATAAATGTTACAGCTTCACCACTTGAACGATTCGAATTATGTGTACTTAAAGCGTGAGCACAAGGTAGTTATGAGAAAGCTTTAGAAGAAAATACATCAAACATAAAAGAAGAGAAACAGAATAATGGAAGCAGCAAGAATGGGTTTTGGTGCTAAAACTCTCCCTCACCTTGGCAACGGCACTCGTCTTCCTCTTAAGACGAAACTCTTGCGCTTTCCTTTGCATTTGCTTCACAACCATATTACGCTTTCTCGGGTATCGACAAAACACAACTTATGTGTTAAGGCAACTAGTGAGAGTATTGGTGATGTTGGGAGTAGTCGTCCCTTGCCTCATGTTGCTCCCACTCTTTGGGGAGATCAAATCCTCTCTGTCCCCACCGAAAACTCGGTAAGTACCTGATCTGATGAATGTGTTTCATAATCAGTCTTTTTTTTCAGAACATGATTCTTGAGCACTGATATTTTGTAGGAATTTTACGCACTAGCTACAGAGATTGAATCAATTATAAAGCCGAAAGTGAGAAACATGCTAATGTCCTCTCACAACACTGATAAAGAGAGAATAGTTCTCATCCACTTGCTTATCTGTCTTGGTACTTCCCATTACTTTGAGAAGGAAATTGAAGAGATCCTAGACCAGGCTTTTCAGAAGTTGGACATGTTAATTACAGACAAAGATGATTTGGAAACAACTGCCATCATGTTTGAGGAATTCAGATTATATGGACACCATATTTCTTGTGGTAAGAGTTATCAGTATCCTTGATTGACATTTTTGATACATGCATATTTGGCTATATACATATATAACATATCTCGGTGTCAATTTAGATGTGTTCGATAAGTTCAAAGGTGTTGATGCAAAGTTCAAGGAACATCTAGTCAAGGATGTTAGAGGAATGCTACAATTGTACGAAGCAGCGCATCTCGCAACACCCTTCGAAAATATAATGGACGAAGCTCTGAGTTTCACAAGGTATCACTTGGAAGTTATGGCCAGCCAAGAAGTGACCGCTCCTCATATCTCAAGACATGTACTAAACGCATTGTACAAACCTCGGTTTCATAAGATAGAAATAGCAGCTGCGAGGGAATATATTTCTTTCTATGAAAAAGAAGGTCATGATGAGACGTTGCTCAAGTTTGCGAAGCTCAACTTCAACTTCTGCCAGCTCCATTACATTAGAGAGCTAAAATCTCTCACCAAGTACGTTGACTTACTTATATTTTGTTTCCTATATATATTTAAAACTTATGAGTTTCCGATTCAAAACTTTAGATAGACTTGTATTTCTCATATGTTACTTTAGATCTCATCTCAATAATAACCGCAAGTGCACATGCAAACGCACTAGTACGTACTTAGGAATCGAATTCACAGATACCAAAGAAATACACAAAAAACTTATAAAGAGTTAAAACTAGCTAGAACAACATAGAGTTACAAGATCTCAGAGAGAATTTGCAGAAAAAAAATAATAAATTAAATAACTTTAAAATAAAATATGATAATATAAAAAATAGAGTTTCAAAGAAATTATCAGAGTATAAAGGGAGATTTACTCAGATGTTATACATTTTATATGAAATTACCAGAAACATACAGATCTTTTTTTTATTACTATCATATTTCGGGTATATTTTTTATACCCAGCGTGCCCCTGTTAAACGTTACAGGAAAAAACGTAATTACAAAGAATGCCACTGCCACGTTAGCAAAGCCGCGTCGCCACGTCAGAAATCGCTGACGTGTATTAATGAACTCAGCCGTCGAGCGATATAGCGGCAGTGACGGCTGAGTTACGGTATGTTGCGGCTGATTTAAGAAAAATGGCTGAGTTATGAGCAAACGGCTGACTTACGAGTATAACCCAGCCTGGAGTTACGGCTGACTTACTGAAATCTGTCTGAGTTATGATAAAATGGCTGACTTTCGAGCATAACCCAGCCTAAGTTACGGCTGAGTTTTCACCCGATGGTTGATTTGTCAAATTTTTGGCTGAGTTATTGCTTCGACACGGCTGACTTAACTTTCTCCGGCTGGCTGAGTTATCAAAGACGGCTTAGTTATGGGATGACGTTACGGCTGATTTATGTTCGAGTATCATAAATCAGCCGTAATGAGCTGGATTAACGGAAAACTCGGCCTTATTATGGCTGACTTAGTAGCGAAAGATTAATTACTAGAATAGCATGCAATGACGGCCGACTTATTAAACGACACGACTGAGTTAAATATTTTTGGTTGAGTTACGACAGTAAACGGCTGAATTTGGCTGCCGTTTTTTTCGTTTTTTAATTACTGTAATAGTATTCATGTTGCGGCTGAGTTAAAGTTTTGTTTGATGGCTGGTTTAATTAAGCTGATTTACATTTTCGTTTGGTGGCTTACTTGCCACTTCATCAATTAAAAAATGACGTGGATGCAACATTCCATGTCATCATCATCAAAGGACAAAAAAATAGGGCCAAATTTTTTCAACTCGTCTTCTTCACCTGAGTTTATCACATCACCGGAACTTCCAATTCCTCATCGTCTTCCTCATTCTTCTTCAATTTCTTTCATCCTTCTCCCGATATGGTTGATCCGGTTCTGGTAATTGGGTATAAAAACACAAATACGTATTTAATACCGATGAAAGAGGGTGTAGAGTTGTGCAGATAGATGCGAAAACAACGCACGAAAAACTTGTGAAGTTGGTGCTCGATGATAAAGTTAGAGGAAATGTTGCGTCTCTTATTGTTTCGCTGCAAATTTACAAGTCACGGCTGAGTTATATGCTTAAGGGAAGACGAAAGGTTCGGTCAATTTACATGTCACGGCTGAGTTATATGTTCCAGGGAAGACGAAAGGTTCGGTAAAATTACATTACGGCTGAGTTATATGCTTAAGGAAAGACGAAAAGTTCGGTCAATTTACATGTCACAGCTGAGTTATATGTTCCAGGGAAGACGAAAGGTTCGGTAAAATTACATTACGGCTGAGTTATATGTTTAAGGGAAGACGAAAGGTTTGGTAAATTTACATGTCACGGCTGAGTTATATTCTCCAGGGAAGACGATAGATGGATGTAAATTATATGTTACGGGTGAGTTATATGCTTCAGGGAAGACGAAAGGTTCGGTAAATTACATGTCACGGCTGAGTTATCATTCAGGGAAGACGAAAGGTTGTGTAAATTATATGTTACGGCTGAGTTACATAACGTTACGGCTGAGTTACATCACTTTACGGCTGATTTATAATACAGATCGGAAAGCAACATTTTTTTGGAGAAGACAATATGAAATTTATTGGTCAAATAACAACAATCAAATTAAGATTCGTAAAAATATGTTTGAGGGATACATAGGAGGAAGACTAAACCGTATGAATCAAAACATAGATAGAAGTAGAAATGTCTCCAAATAGATCGATTGAGAGGAAGATTAAACGAGAGACATGTAAAATCAAAGTAAAAGAGTAGCTATTCTTGATTTCAACTCAAACCTGTAACGAATCATGTAGAATTCCATAGATCTCTTTGTTTTGGGTTTTGATTTTTGATGACTTTTTTCGTGAGCGTGGTTGCGAGTAGATCTGACGAAGCTTTTGATTTGGGACCCTATGGCAAGCGTTGTGGCTGTGAGGTCTAGGAAGATCCAGCCCAATCCTGCAATTTGAAGATCTCTGTCAATGTTGTACCCAAGTTAGTTGCAGATTATTAGATCTAAAAGTTTTTCTTGGATTTGGAGAAAAAAATGAGAAGAGGAGAAATGATCTAAAAGTTTTTATTGGATTTGGAGACAAAAAAGAGAAGAGGAGAAATAACGTGAGTTTGAGGAGTGTGAGATTGGTGATGTGGATTAATGACATGGATAATCAAATTTTTATTTATTATTTTTAATTAAAAACGAATTAAAAATTATTAATTAAAAAAAAACTAATGAAGGGTGTTAATTGTAATTACACAAATGCTCAAAACATATGAGTAATTTTTAGAAAATGTATGATATTCTAGTAATATTCGAACTTTTGGTTAACATCTAAGTAAATATTTCATATATAAAAGACATGTAAGTTTGGTTATGATTTTTAAAGTTCATGAAATCAGACTTCTATTGTGAATAACTCTAATGGTGTTTTAGTGATAATTTCTTGAAAAAACTACAGAGCTTCATAAGCTTTTGCTGAGGCTTGTTCCAAGCAATCAATTCAAGCATTAAAAAAATAATCCAATAAATTGTACAAAACGCAATAACACAACTTTTGGTGAGGTCGGTTAAGGAAATTTGTCTATCTAATAATAGATCCATCAATTCAACACCACTTTTGGTGGCTCGAAGAATTAGATCATGGAAAATAGGAGAATTGGCCTAATTCATCTAAGACTTTAAGAATAATCAAAGATAGGGAACTAGTAGATATCATAGCAAGAGTACATATACATAGGTCTAACATATAAGTGATCTCTTTGGGGATTCCAACCGATCGATCAAATTGCAAGTCGATCGGTGGAGTGCAATACCGATCAATAAAAATCCATGATGAGACAACTCACACATTACCTAAGTACATGTGATAATTGCAGAAGAAGAATCAAGATTTTAGAAAAGATCCCTCAAGTATTTTGATAAAGAAGAAAAGAATAACAAAACTAATAATCCTATAAAACTAGAAAAAACATAATATTTACATGCTTCTACGGCTAGAATGCATGGGATATTTATATATAAGAGAGCGGTGTCCTAGAAGAGAAAACAATAATTTTACAAAGCCCATAATTTTACAAAGCCCAACCGATAGGTTATGAGGCCCAATCGATCGGTTATAAGGGGCATCTATACCGATCAATTCAACACTTTAACCGATCGGTAGAATAGTCATACGTCTGATCGCACCGTTAGATTTCCTCGATTTAACTTGCATATAAAAACTAGAGAAATCTAACTAATGTGCCACAAACTATTTAAATTCTTAACAAAATTGCCACAACCCACAAAATCTTTTCAATAGTGCCACATTCCAATTTCTAACCAAACTTGTAAAGACCAATTTGCCCTTTTAAAGATCAAATTCCCTTTATAATAAACCACTCTCTTTCTCTCACGTTACTTTTTCTCTCTTCTTCTTCCCCTTTCCTCTCCTTTCTCTCTCATGTCTCTCTCTCTCTCCTCTAAATAATGAAGCTCAATCTCCATAGATATAAAAGTTTCCCAAATTTTGATCTTCTTCTTCTTATTCAAGTATGATCCAATTCAATTTTAAATAAATATTATTCACACTGTTTTTGGATTTTCAAACGGCTCATCACGTTTTCGATCTAGTAATACATCGTTGGCGATTTAGCGAGATAAAAAATCTGGATCTGAATCTGGTTTGGAAAGTGGAAACGAATCTAAATCTGAGAAGGAAGATAAACGAGATCTGTTGTATTTTGCATGTGGACAACATTTCTTGTCTACCAAAATTTTCGAAGTATGTCGTTTCGAATTCTTGTCCACCAAATTTCTTTGAAGTCTGTTGTTTCAAATGTGGACAATATTTGTTGTCCACCAAATATCTTCTCAATCTGTTGTTTCAAATGTGGACAACATTTCTTGTCTACCAAAATTTTCGAAGTATGCCGTTTCGAATTCTTGTCCACCAAATTTCTTTGAAGTCTGTTGTTTCAAATGTGGACAATATCTTTCCAATCTGTTTTTAAATGTGGACAATATTTCTTGTCTACCAAAATTTTTCGAAATATGTTGTTTCAAAGTTGTCCACCAAATATCTGATATTTAAATAAATATAAATTAATTAAAATCATAAATAAAAACAAAAAGTCACATAGGCACGTGCACGTGGGTGTTGTGTACTCAACACATTCACACAGTTTTCCTACTTGTTTGGTCCAGGGCATTTTTGTCATTTTGATTATTTCATAAAGATCAGTTATGGCACATTTAGAAAGATTTATGTTTTGTGGCATTTTTGCTAAGTTTTGCTACAGTGAATGGCACTTTCAACCAAATTCCCAAAAAACTAACATTCTTATTTATATATCTTGTGTCCAAGATAATTTTTGGACAAGCTAGACTAACTCCCGTCAACAAACTCTGTTTTGTTTCTTTGTTTTGACAAAGGTGATTATCTATGCTTTTGTGTATTGCTCATATACATATATTCGGTGATAAATCCAAACAGGTACTTGTTAAATAACAAAGGAAAGGAAGTTTTTGATTGTAGGTTACCACACTTACAGTTTCTTCGAGTTGTTAATTTTTACTAGCCAATCTAGAAATAAAATTTCTATTGGATCATATATATATTTACTGAGCAACATACTCATGTTGGATCATTTAGTATCATATACAAATTAATAAGCTTCCAATTCAAAATATGTGGATCCGTTTATGCCTTTTATTTACTTTATTTAAGATGCAAAATTCTTAACATTTTCTATTCAATGTTTATGTGGTTGTAGATGGTGGAAGGACATTGATCTTGTAAAGAAGCTACCTTACACTAGAGACAGGCTTCTTGAGACCTTCGTCGGTTGCCTAGCATTGTATGTCGAGCCAAAATATTCACTTGGGAGAATTATAACCACTAAACTTTCCCAAATATTGGTAGTACTGGATGACACATGTGATGCATATGGAACTTTCTCTGAAGTTAGAAGTCTTATTGATTCTTTGCAAAGGTAATGAATATGTATGCAGTATGTATTAGGTATTTATGTATATATTATTGGTCTTATAATTATGATGTCGAGTTTTAACAAGTGCATGCATGGAAATACCTTAGGTGGGATCTTGGTGCCATTGACGAACTACCGATCTCTTTGAGAATCGTCATCCAAAATGTAATTGAAACTATGGAAGATATTGAAAGAGAAATGAAGCCGCGGGGAAAATCCTCTACTGTGCAATACATAATAGAAGAAGTAAGCCAAACAATTTAGGGTTTTGTTTCGCTAAAAGTCTAAAAATATAAATCTTAATTTGCGCGTTATATTGAGAATTGTGCAGATTAAACGCGTTGGGAGAGCGTTCTTAGAGATATCAAAATGGGCACGAGCAGGTCATGTTCCAACCTTTGATGACTACATTAAGGTTGGGACTGTCACGGCTGGATTTAGATGCTCTGTAGTGTACAGCATTTTAGCAATGGAAAACTGTGATGAAAATCAAACGAACGAGTGGTTCAAATCCGTACCCAAAATTATATTAGCTTTGGCTATTATACTTCGTCTTGAAAATGACATAGCCGGCTTTGAAGAAGACATGAGGAGAGGAGAGGTGGCTAATGGGGTGAAATGTTACATTAAGCAACATGGAGTTACCAAAGAAGTGGCCATTAGCGAAATGAAGATGATGATTAGAAATAATTATAAGATAGTCATGGAGGAGTTCTTGATGATAAAAAGTGTGCCACGTCCGATTCTGGTACGGGTCCTCAACAATGTACGAATGATCAATGTTTATGATTACGAAGAGGGTGATGGGTTTACCAATCCCCATGAAAAGCTCAAAGACCTCATCACCTCTTTGTTCTTTAAGCCTCTTCCGCTTTGAAGACTTGGCTCCCTACCAAAAAAAAATAATCATCTCTACACTTGTTTGTTGCCTCCAAATTTCTCCAAATTTAACTGGGTTTTCAATTACTCTGTAGTCTGTACTATATATTAAGTGTTAATGTGTGTTATTTTTTACTATTAAATGTTACACAATTATTATTATTTATTTTTGTCAATGAATGTTAGATGATTATTTCCTCTACTCACGTATTTTTCATTAAAATTGTAATAGTGTATCTGGTTTTTCAATGACTTTGTACTATTCAATGTTACTATGCATTATATCCATAATGGTTCACCATCCAGTCCACGTATCTCATTATTTTCAATAAAATCATAAAATTTCTAGATTTATAACAATACTATTTTATTATTTAAATTTGAACTTTATGAAAATCCGACATATGTAAAAATTATATAATTAACGAGAATAAAACATGTGTCAGTAAATCAAATAGATATCGTCGACATGTATAAAAGTCTCTATGAGAAGGAGACGATATCATAGTTATGTTTATATAGGTTATACTAATTAAGTAATTGATTCTTAAATTCTCTTTTTTTCTTTGTAGATATTATTAAATTATACACATGAGTTTTTGAACCAAGGAACATATAAGTTCAAAAAATAGAATGGAAAGCAAAATTTTGTTATACTTGTAAGTGTAGATAAGATAACAATAAAATATAGAAAGTAAATGAGATAAGAAATTTGTTAACGAGGTTCGGTGTTTTCTTCTTCCCGAAACCAAGTCCAGATTTCGAGTTAACTAGAACAAAAAAGCAAATACTATCTATTCGCAAATGCGAAAACTAAGCATAACCCTCTTGATTTACCGCTACGTTCTATTACGTGAGCTCTTAAGGATAAATCTCTATTCTTATAACTAAACTCTCCTGAGCTTAGATTTAATCAAGATAACCTAACTCTGAGGTAAATTCCCCCTGAACCGAAACTTCAATTCTCCAAGTCTTTGGAACAACCACCACACACGAATCACCACACCAACGAACCAAACGATCACCAAAACACTCCAACACGTACGTCAACACCAACACACAAATAAGCTTGATCACACAAGCAACAAACCGCGATACTCTGTCGCACACGATCACACGATCTCTCTCACATCAAATCTCTTAGGGATTTTTGTTCTCTCAAATCCACATTCTCGTAAGGTCACGTCCCCCTTATATAACAAACAGAAACTTGTGCTTCAAGTTCTTATAATCACACATAAGAGAAAGTTGCCAAATCCCATAAGGAAAAAGTTTTCGTTTTTGCCAATTTCTTTTTACTTACATGATTTTTTTTTTGTTTTCAAACAAAGATAAATTTTCTTTTTCTAACTTAACAATTGCTCCTACATCCAAGTACTCGAGCTTTTCATCATCAATTATTTATCTTTCTTAATCACTTCTTGTACATATGTACTACTTCGACGATTAGTACAGAACATTAAAATAACTACATCAACAATACTTGTGGAGTTCACATGTAGGGTCCGTCGAGATTGCAGATAAGCAACAAAATATAATAGGCGGTGAGACTAAGACTGTAGTCTTTTTTGACCACCGGATGGTCCGTACGGATTTCGATACGGTGTGGTTGTTAGTGGCGGTGGTGACCATTATGCAGCCACGTCACGCAACCATTTAATTATTTAAGGTGGGAATTTGACACACGAGGTTTTACTATAAATCAATACATTATTTGGAGACAGAGCATCTTCTGCTGGTCGGGCTTTAGTATTTTTTTTTTTTTTTTTTTCGGGCTTTAGTATTTCATAAAATCATATTTTTGTTAATTTAGATGGGTTTCTTTCTCCGCATCTTCGTAATGAACAATACATTTTTTTGGTCAACTTGATAGTCTAATGTCTATGGGCAGTTACATAATGTTGCTATCATATTTGCTGTCAATACTCTTGTGATATGGCATATATGGACTTTGGTACGAGGGCTTAAAGTTCTAACCAACACATGATATAAACGACTAATGACTTTTCCCACAACAAAACACAATATACTACATTGACTTAAAATATTTGATCCTTATGAAACATTCATTTATTTATATTTTTCTCAGTATGAACTATGAAATCTATTTTTTAGTTGAAAGGTTAAAATATTTTTTTTTAACTTTTTGGTCAAGTTAAAATATCTATAATCTTATTACTTTTTCAGTATTAAATATTTGGAATAGTTTTTATTTTTAACAAGTTAAAATATTTGTAAAAAGTTTTTACTGCACACACACTTGTATGTGTTAAAAATATTATTAAAAAATAGAAGCCCAAACCGTATAAATATTCAAAATTTTCTTCCACCAAATATAAAGAAATTCTAAATCAGCGTTTTCTTCAAATACACACTATTTGTACACGCTTAAAGACAGCCTTGCTAATACAATATCCATGCATGCATGACAGCATTTTTACACTCCACACGTAACTACGTGGGAAGCTCACTTCACCTGAAACCAAACAAGCCTCCCACAAATTCTATTCCATCATTTATTGTCTTTCTTTATTTCTCTATATACAATTTCACTTAACCACTGACTCTATAACTCAAACTTCTCGAAACTAATAATAGCACATTTCAATATACACACACATTATAGTACTACTAAACAATCTTGTATTAATTATTATATGGAAAACAATTATGTTGGTCAACGAGAACAACGGTTCTCCGTTGACCAAGTGTCTTATAGAGGCATTCGTCGGAGGAAATGGGGTAAATGGGTGTCAGAGATCCGTGAACCCGGTAAGAAAACCCGGATTTGGCTGGGGAGCTACGAGACGGCCGAGATGGCCGCAGCGGCCTATGATGCTGCGGCTCTTTACCTCCGAGGACATGGGACCAATCTCAACTTTCCGGAGCTTGCTGACAGTTTCCCTCGGCCGGAGAGCTCTAGTTCCGAGCATGTCCAAGCGGCTGCTCAGGAGGCAGCACTTATGTTTAAACCAGGTGGGTCTACTGAACCAGCTCTCGAGTCGGGTCAAGGACTTTCTAGGGTCGGATTGTCTCCGGATCAGATTCAGGCTATTAATGAGTTTCCATTAGACTCGCCGAGGTTGGGGTGGATGCAAGATTTGGAAGTGACTGATTACGAAGAGTTGTACGGAAGGTTTTTTGGTCAGTACGATGAGTTTTTGGAAATGCAGCAACTTCAATCCATATGGGATTGTAATAGTAATTGATATTTTATTGCTTAACCATTTGATATTTTTTATAATGTCATATCACCAACCATTTAAGGTTCCGGTTTTTATAATGTAATATTTACAGACTAATTATTTATTCCGTAAAGTATAATAAATTTTCGACCCATAATATTTGTCTTGTGTTCAATTTGTAATCTTTGCACATGTTTTAAAATCAAATTTCGAGGATCCAGTAAGTGATGACTAGAAAAACTCGTTGTTTGAAAAAAGTTAGAATAATCGTAATTGCATGTATCATATAGTACACTCCGTGTGGGGGCACAAGAGACGATTCCAATTAATATGCCGCCCGAATCTCTCCTGTGGACCTACTGTGCATTGACATTTCAGCTTCAGCAAACACTTTTCTTATCCTTGATATTATCTTCAAAGTTTTGATATATTTTTATCAACCGACTTAATATTTTAAGAAAGTTGCTTATAATAACGAGAAATATTAAGTTTTTGAATCAATGACTCATATGGTACGGTGATATCTTATATAATATGAGAAGGTTTTCTTCTAACTTTTCCTACCATTGCGACATTTGGCATTCTCTTTTGGTGACATGTGTCCTCTTTCATTTCATTAATGTTTGTTTTAATTTATTTAAAATCCTTAGTTTTGAAAGTTTGTACCTACAATTTAATTCCAAAAAAGATATTTCTCTTATCCTATTGATACATTTGACATGTATTTAAATTGAAATTTGTATCTAATTTGTTTTGCCAAAATTATTATCTACTTAATCACCACTTATTCATCTGATTCAAAATTATGGATCAGTAAAATTTTAACTTCACAAAATATTAGTACATTTTTAAAACTTCTCATAACATTAGTACATTTGGCATCTATTTTTACATTTAATTTTTTTCCTCATTTTTCTATCTTACATAATATTTTCATATCTCCATAAAATACATTTCAAATCTTTTCTAATTTGTCTCTTTTTTTTCTTCTTTCCAATCTACCATTTTTATAAAAACATTTATAACACCAATTTATTCTCACCTGTTACAACTCCAAGTTGGAGTATTTATTTACAATTTTATTACACAATACATTTAATGTATTTATATAGTATAATATAATTTACAGGAATTATTAATGTATTATTAATTTATTATTAATGTATTATTAATTTATTATTAAATTATTTAAAACCTCTATAAATTAATACTCTATACATTAATAACCTCTATAAATTAATAAATTCTTTAGGTTCCGAGTTAGGACCAGTGAAAAATATGACATAAATCGATAAATTAATAAGATAATAATTTTTTTCCGAGTTGGTCCCAACATTATTAATTTATAGAGGTTTTACTGTATATTGTTTTATAAATGTCTCAGTAAATGAAATTCTAACTTATGTAACAGTTAATGTAATTTTAATAAAGAAATATAGTAAAGTTCATTATATTAATGTATTGCTCCATGTGTTACGCCTTCTCTCAAAATAAATATTTGCGACGAGTTTTTTTCTCCAGTAACGCTTTTCATGTGACTTCTAATACCGAAATATATTAGTGTTTTTATTTTTGTTCTGGAATTAGTTACCCAAAGTAAAACCCACAAATGAACTTATTAAAACATATGTAACGTCAAATAACTCTAAATTGATGCATTAGGCTAACAGATAACCACAATAACTCCAATTAATTCAAAACATTAAATCTAATTAATTTTAGAGTGTAAATTAATACTCTAAATATTGACTCCAATTAATCTACTTCTATATATTACCCACATGTCAAGCTAAAAAAACTATTGTAGAGTTTTTGCTTTTTCCAGTCCATTCTTTTATTTTTTATTGACTTTTAGTTGTTTTCTCTTTATTTCAGGCTATCGTCCACATAGTAAAAATATCTACAAAAGTTTTCTCATTTGGTGTTCAAGTTAGGTTTGTGATTTCATATGGTGTTTAAGTTAGGTTCACCAACACCATTAGTTCTACATAAAAGTGTTTTATTTTTTTAAAAGTTCTATTTTTAATTGTTTCTCTATTTTTCAACTCACCAATAAGATTTATATACATACATTGAGAAAATTTATATCTATTATTATGGTCAGTTAAAGTGTAATTATAAATTTATGTATTTAGATAAATGGCATTACATTATATTTATTAAATTTTTTACTCTTATGATCTATATGTATTCATAAATTTGAAAACCATAAGTTTGTTAAAATATTTATGATATAAATTGAAAAACTATTTATGTAATTATTCTCAACATCACTTATCAAAAAGTTAAGAGTTTGTTTTCAAATTTATGAATACGTAAAGTTGTTTCAAGATGATTTTGTTCTTGAATACGTAAAACTCATGGGATCATGAGTCATTCTTTATTTGATAGTTTATGCCATTCTTTATTTCTTTTACATAATTACTCAACGTTTGAGAGGGATCGACGTTTGAGTTTCATATATCTCGAGTAAATAGTTTTTTTATTTATTTTTAATATTGTATAACATTTGACTTGATTATGTTTTGAATTCAATTTTTTTTAGTCAATCATACAAATTAAGTAAGAAATAAAGATCAATGAGAGAATATAAAATTTGTATTTATTTTTATCAAAGTTTCCATAAAACCAACCCAATGAAATTCAACCAAAAAATTTAAAAAGTTCCACCAAAGGTTTTTTTTTTAATCTATCCTCATGAGATTTTTGAAAAGAATTATGTTTGCTAAGGGTAATTGCATAGAATATCATAATTGACTAATTCAGTTAAAACCTAACATGCCATTAAAGTATTTAGATAAACGGCATTACATTATATTTATTAAATTTTTGTACTCTTATGAGTTATGACCTATATATATATATACAAAGTTTATAAAATGGCATTTTTTTTTTCAAACAATTTAATTTTTATATATATATCAAAACTGAACTAAATTTTTTTAATATAAACTTTCAAAGATAAATTTTTTATTATATCATCTGAAGTCATTTTCCTAAATTAAATATGATTATAATTAAGTGTAACATATATTTGTTTTTTGTGCATAGGCTAATTCAATTTAACTTAGGTTTGGGCCAGGCCCATTACAAGAGAAACCAGAGACTGTTTTACCAATGAATCGGCATTTGAGTTCTGCAAACGGGGAATGAAACTAAACGAAATAATATCAAAGGTAGAAGATAAATTCAGGATATAGAAAAGAATCCCATGAAGCTCCTTGTGTTGAAGCTCCGATTTTAAAGCTTTGACTAGCTGTGCTGAGTCGGAAGCGAGAGAGAGATGTGAAAAAAACAGATTAACATATATAAAATATGTTTTTGCTCATTTGGACCACCTTGCTATTTTATTAAATTTAATCATTATCACAAATTATTTAAATTTTTCTTTAATTTTTAACATATGTAGATAAAATTTAGCAAAAAAAATAATAAATATGATTATGTTTTACCTTTGATCTCCTAATTTTATTATGGATTATACGGATATAATATCTAAAGCTTATTGTCAAATGGAAATTCATGAGGTCAGGAAGATCTACCTTCTGATGAGATTCAACGAGGGAAAACGGCCAATATCAACCCCAATTATCAACTTGAACCCACATAAATTTCAAATAACAAACCTGAACTATGTAATCGTTAGCCAATTTTAACATATACATGTTATTAAATAATGTAACAAACCTGAATTATTTAACTTTTAGCCAATTGAATAAAAGGAATGATTCAGATACAAAAAAACATATAATTACGACTTAACAATTCTAATCGACATTAACAAATACAAAAAAAAACTGTGTTGAAATTGGATAACGGTTAGATAGTTTAGGTTTGTTTTTTTTAAATTGTATGAGTTCGGGTTGATAAGTTCAGGGGGTCAGAGTTTGGGATGAAAAAAGCCGCATAGAAATAGTAGGAGTTGATTTTGATCGTTTTCCCGATCCAAAGATCATGAATCAACAAACAAGAGACTGTACGATGAGGTATGATATATATATTTCCACAATAAAATATTTTATGTAAATTAAGAAAAAGTAGTGGTATATATTGATATCATACCATCTTGAATAAAAAAAGAGCAGAATTTATTTTTTAGCAATTCACAAAAATACTTCGAAACTGAACATAAAAGTTAATATTTTAAAAAATTCTTTTCAAAAAACTATATTAATAATCGAACGTATTACTTTAATACAAATTTCATTATTATTCAGGATTTAATGAATACCAAAAAATATATTTCTCTTATCCTATTGGTACATTTGACATGTATTTAAATTGAAATTTGTATCTAATTTGTTTTGCCAAAATTATTATCTACTTAAAATCACCACTTATCCTATTGGTACAATAGTACATTTTTAAAACTTCTCATAATATTAGTACATTTGGCATCTATTTTATATTGTTTTATAAATGTCTCAGTAAATGAAATTCTAACTTATGTAACAGTCAATGTAATTTTAATAAAGAAATATAGTAACATGCATTATATTAATGTATTGCTCCATGTGTTACGCCTTTACTCAAAATAAATGTTTGTGAAGAGTTTTCTTCTCCAGTAACGCTTTTCATGTGGCTTCTAATACCAAAATATATTAGTGTTTTTTTTTTGTTCTGGAATTAGTTACCCAAAGTAAAACCCACAAATGAACTTATTAAAACATATGTAACGTCAAACAACTCTAAATTGATGCATTAGGCTAACAGATAACCACAATAACTCCAATTAATTAAAAACATTAAATCCAATTAATTCTTGTATATATTACCCACATGTGAAGCTAAAAAAACTCTTGTAGAGTTTTTGCTTTTTCCAGTCCGTTCTTTTATTTTTATTGACTTTTAGTTGCTTTCTCTTTGTTTCAGGCTATCATCCACATAATAAAAATATCTAGAAAAGTTTTCTCATTTGGTGTTCAAGTTAATTAGGTTTGTGATTTCATATGGTGTTCAAGTTAGCTTCACCAACACCATTAGTTCTACATAAAAGTGTTCTATTTTTAAGTTCTATTTTTGATTTTTTCTCTATTTTTCAACTCACCAATAAGATTTATATACATACATTGAGAAAATTTATATCTATTATTATGGTCAGTTAAAGTGTAATTATAAATTTAAGTATTTAGATAAATGGCAGTACATTATATTTAT